TACTTTTCTTACATCGTGTATGCTGGTTAATTAAGTTTCTTTAGAAGGCATGTATTGTAGAAATACTTCACTTCAGATGGCGTGTGCATATATCAAATAGAGAAATTTCCGCCCCAGACTTTGCATAGACCACGTATTACGTGGCCTATGCAATCTAAGATCAGTAATGTGCTTAAAGCACATTACTAATCTTAGATGTCGGAAACACACAGTTAGGATGCCGTTTTTCCGACAACACTGGAACATTGGGCGTACGCGCGCCATAATGTTAGGCCCAAGTGTGAAGAAACAGACATCTTAACTATAATTTGCAAATGAGAGGCAAGATTTTAAAAAGGTAAAAAGACAATATTCTCCCCCAAACCTCATGTTATTCATATTGATGTCATTGATGCAACAATAACACTGGTATTCTGGCTTAAGTCTGTGCTTTATGTACAGCTGTCCAACACTCTACGCTGTCATAATCCTTCTGCTGTAGGTTTACGTACGTCTGGTTGGTCTCATTTTGTCTTTTATTTCAAGCTCCAGTCTCGCTCAGGGCTGTCTCAGCTTGAAAACTACAAATAAAGAAGCGGGTGGAGAACGCGCCCGGTTTAATTGAATAAACACGACGGCATCGGACGTGTAATTTGTTTCAGCGGGATGAGAAATTAACTATAAGCTGGCTAGGCTAGCCGCCCTTCACTCACCCATCAGCGCGCATACATTCTCCGCACGTCTGAGTGCGTTCTCCCACTAATGAAAAGCCTTATTGGGGAGCGAGGCTGACGCATTGCAGCGCGGCGGGACGCAATGAGGCGTCAACCTCGCAACCCTTGGCCAGGGAGGAGACCAAAAACGAAAAAGTACAGGTGATTGATACCCGGTTATCTTTTTCCTCTTTGCCAAACACACCAAAAAGTCAGCACACAGAGCTAATGGCTTGTCAAATTATCATAATTGTGATGTGAATGGAATCGAATCATCCGATTCCCGTCACATCGGACGGGACACCGTTGAATTCTGTCTGGAATGAAACTCGCACGTCGGTTCAACAGTGATGTGTATAGTCCCTATTCAGTTCTGTGACTGGCGTTACGGCTACTAAAACTGAGAATTTAAAACAGTTGTTGAAGAAGCCAAGCAATTCAAGTTTGATCTGCTGCTTGTTTTCAGATTTTAAATTTTGAATTCTATGCCCAGCATAATATCAAGCCAACAATTATTTCACATGTTCCTTTCAGATTTCACACTGTTACTGTTAATTTCACCTTAAAGTTTTCTTGTGAATTTACAGTTTAAAAGCATTAAAATGCTACCGTTCGCATAATTAGCACACTGCAGAAAACTACATCTTTTGTTCCCCATCATTCATTTTAAGCTAGTTCTTCTCTCAAAGGATAGACCAAGGATAAGGACGAAACCTTATAAACCAAAAGAATACCGAACAATTAAAAAGCGCTTTCCTCCTGCCTCGGTAATCCTAAGATGGTTTTATTAAATTAACATATGATTCATCATTAAGCCTTTGCAAAACTCGTTAGCCCAATTTTCCCCCTTGCAATGCAGATACCGCCTCGGAGAAATAACGTCCTTAAGCTAGGTGAGATTACCTGCAGGAAAAACATCATTCGGCTTGTGCGTTTACCATTCATCACTTTATTTGTGAATAGTCTATTGCGTATCATTACAGTATTGTGTTAGCGGAAAACCTCTCACGCCGTGTAGCATCCGTACATTTAAAATGCAAGTTTTCCCCGCGCAGCTTGAGGCTTATGCGAAGTCTGCGACCGCTGTGCGTCCCGTGCGTATTACAAGCGGGCAGCTCTCCTAAACAATACCCGGTCCGCCATCTCTAATGCTGATACGTTCAGAGTGAATGACAATTCAAACTGAACTATAATCCTACAGGATTTGCAGTGCTCTTAGAAATAAAAACCCAGACTGGATTTAACCGTCATTTTCCTGTAATCCTAAGGAAAGATTTTCCCGCCGAAACCAAGTCACATTATGAATCATTCTTAAGGTAATACCCTACTTGAATTTTAATGGTAGGCCTACATAATATCAGACTCCTGTATATTTCACAAGTTCAGCACGAAAGTTGATGGTTTATTTTCCTCTGGTGCAGCTGTAGGGGATGGGCTGAGCATACGGAGGGGGACTTACTCTCTGAATCTGAATGAGTAAAACTCGACATTTTACAATGAAAATCACATCAGTCTGAATTTAGATTGGAATAATTTTCAAAACGAAAAAACCCTCTAATGGAAATTCGAGTGTAATCTCGAGTTAATTGACTGTTTAAATTTCACGTGAATTTGTCTTGTCCCAAGTTTCAATCGGAGTGAAGTTTCACTCAAATTGAGATGGTCTAGCACCCCTTGGAATGGGCTGGTTCCAACTGCGCATGCCCAAACTGAGGCGCATGTGAGGTCATTCGGGAACAGCTGCTATACGCTGGCTCATGCGCACTTGGTTCCCGAAGACCTAGCTTGCCTTTTGAAATTCTGAACTGACTCATTAAGAGAGCAAGAATATTGTACAAGCCAGAAAAAAGTGACGTAATTGTGCCTGCCAGCCCATCAAAAATACAGTTTTCTTGTGCACCATTGACCCCAGTTAAATAGATAACATGCAAATATGCTTTAGTCAGTGAAGTTCGTGTATAGTGTGACGTCATCCTGTTATGCCTCACGGCATCTGACTAGTTTCAAATAACCGTGTAGTCTTATGCAAATGTTTAGGTTATTTATACATCAAACTGGAAACTTAAAACGCATTTACGACAGTGGTGTTGGTTACATGTTGATTTCCAAGTCTTATTATAAATGCATTTGGTACAGGTTAAGTAATAAACGTGATAAGTGAGTGATGAACGAAATGATTTTAACTTAATTAAAATGAAGTAAATGGTAAAACTTGTAACATTGAACAATGTTTAACATTAAAGAAGAAAACGTGTAAACTTATAGAAGCTAAGTCTTGAGTCGATGTTGCATGTTGAGGAACCTGTTGTCACTGATGCCCATTTGGGGTAAACAAAAAAACTTTGGCACGGAGAGCTAAAGTAAGGTTCCAGATAAAGGCCTTTGTGTGTTTGTGACAACAGTTGACAAAATACTCAAAGCGATAGGACATCAACTGCAGAAAGTCAATTTGGTTTGTAACTTTGAAATTTTATGTTTGCACCATATGGACGATAGACTTTTTGAACATTTATGCAAAATCTAAGTCTTCATCGATTTAGTTGAGTGCAAAGTAAAAAAGCCGACCGAAAAGAAGCGAGAGATATTAATATGCCTTGCTTCGCGCGCATGGGCTTAGACTTTCAGAAATGTCCCCCATGTTGAAAAGTGCCAATTTCCTTATTGTGGCAATAAGGAAGTCGTACCAATTACCAGCAATCGCGGCTGTGTCCACTCGCTTCCGGCAGTCAGCTCGCTAGGCATTGTGTCTCCGACGATATCCAGAGGGCGTCCTGAGGATCACTCACCTTCAATGGCACACGAGACCGGAAGACGCGTCTATTCTGTTAGAGGTAGACCGGAAGTGCATACTTTGCTAATATTTGCCATTGCATTGTGTCTCAGGTCTGGCGATTGGGTGGTATTGGTTTTGAGCGTTGCAAGCTGCATATCTGTATATCAGCCCCCAAAGGGTGAGATGGTAATTAGTCAAAAATGATGAATTGATGAGATAAATGTTCAACTCCGCCGTGACCCTTTTCGGCTTCGAACATTACTTCCCGGCTGCCCATAGCAGTGGACACGTGCATGATACCTTGAGGACGCGCGGGCAACTATTCGACTGTCTCTAAATGGGTGAAAAATTGAATCACAAAATGCGCTGTGCCTTGTAATAAAATTATGCGCATACGAATATGTGAATTATAAAACGATGGGCACATAGGGATCGCGTGGACCCAGTTTTGGAGATAAGATACACGTGTATAGATTTCTGCACTGTTACTGTAGACAAATTATGACAGCGATTAATGCCAGTACTGTCCAACGTGTAATTGCATACCCCTATATTAAAATTCATCACTGGTCAAACTTAAAAGAGCGCATTTCAACATGAAGTGTTGAATCTTGTCTTGTTTATTGGTCGCTGTCGCGTTACATGCATTAAAACGTGCAAGTGCAATAGCTGGTATAGACTATAGGCCGAGTGCAATTATTGTTTTCGTTCGTGATCTTCTTATTGGTAGATCATTATGAGCAATGATATGGATTGTAAATATTATTGTTAACCAAAATATGAGTCAAAAGAACTGGCCGAGTAGGTGTATTTTTCAGGAAATACTATCGTCTTTGGACTTCATTTTAAAGGCGCGACTGAGCCTAATTTGAGACCAATCGGAAATGCCGTCTTAATCAAGGTTTTGGAGGGCTGCGACGGCATCCAATCAGAACGCTCGTTATATATCGCTGACACGTTGTGCAACATGCTCTGTAGAACGTCACCTTTATCGTATTTTTGATTCAAAGTCTCGTTCACATCCAGCTTAGTTCTGTATTGATGTTTCCCTAGCTGTAATTATTTGTGTCGTATTACGGCCTTTGAATTTTGTGCATTAACTGTCAAGAAATCCTGTTGGTCATTTTCGGGCAAAATAATGATCCTTCGAGATTCGTAACTGTTATAGGACGGGACGTTTTGCAGACAGCAGAGGCTATAAACCGTAATTGTATGAATATCACACGCAGTATGATAAATGGACGGATGCAGCGCTACACAGGGAGACGGAATAAGGAGTGTCATTAGGCCCATCAGCAGTTCTCAATTTCAAATCGAGTTGTCTACGTTTATTTGTTGCATGTGGACCGTGTATGCCCAGAAGACAAGACGACGCACGCGTAGCGGTGTGGAACAACCCCCCAGGCCCGTCATTGGCTAGCGTGAATTTGATGTCACTCCCCCCGGAGGAAAACAGCGCGGCGGCGCTGTTACTGCATCACCGCTACGCCGCTGCCTCTGCCACGGCAGTTCGTACGCACCAGGCATGCGTATCTACCGCGTGCCTGTGAAAACGTGCAACTGCACAACAAACTATGCTTTTTTGCGTGTGACTGTGTTTGGTCACCGCGCCACGTTTCAATCAGCCGGGCAATTAAACCCTTAACAAAAGCAAGCAGGGACCCACCGCAGACCAGCAAGTAGTTTTGAGGCAGCAGTCTTTTTGTCAAGGGGTTTGACTGTAGGCATAAGAGTGACAGGGTATATGAAAAATTGCAACCAACCGCTATTAAGGTGCTATAATAACGCAGTGTGTTATCGTCGACCCGATGTCACATTGAGCGCTGGCACTCTTCGTAGCTGATAGCTTGTAACATTGTTGACTTCAGCCATTCGGACCACCGGAGTCTCGAGCAAAGACATCCCTAAGTCAAAATAAATGTGTTGCTAAAGTCAACTGAGAGACGAACACGGCACCGTGTCGACCTTTAGGGTTACGCACGGGCTGATAGGAGCTCCACGCCCCGCCATGGATTCGCCTATCGTCGGTGGACAGTTGCCGCACTCACTCGGACCTCTCGGACTGTACGCCTTCGGCTCACCGGGGCTCGGATTCCCCAGCTCTCGCGCCTTCGACTTCGGGCTGCCGGTGTCGTCAGCCTCCACCGGGGCCTTCTCGCCGGACGGCTTCCTGGCGAAAGGCTCACAGCTGAGCGATGTGTCGTCTTGCGGGTCCAGCGTGTCCAAGGCCAAAGCCAGCCCCGGTGGGGAATCAATGCTGGGTGAGTGGACTCTTCCTCCTTCTAGTGTTTCTATTTAATTATCTCAGTGATAGGAAAAACAGTTTTCGGTCAACCCGAGCATCATCATCAAAGAGTTCATCAGATAATATATATAATTCATATCCTATAGACCAACCATTTCAATACGCGATCGTGGATAAACACAACCCACTCAGCAAATCTTCGATAAAATTGGCTTTAAATTGCAAATAGAAATTCGTGGTTATAACCTATTATAGCTTTAACCTTAAATAAAGAAAATTATCTCTTCAATTGGTTGATTCCTATTTTAGCACAACTACTATTATTCCCATCACGGACAAAGAGAGGAGCTTAAGTTTGAACTTACAAGATTGATATTTCGAAAAGAAAATGTCCATGTAGGTCTACATATTTCAGTACTACTTAGGCTAATGCACCAGCCTGCATGAATAACATCAAGATCAAATCCATGCATTTATCATGGAAAACACACAAGGGCTTAATAATTTCTCTCATTGCTTTTTCAGTCAGTACCCTCTGTTCAGACTGAGTTCGCAAAATAAAGTGAGTTGTGCGTCATGTCCTTAGCCGCAGTGTTGATGCCACATCTCATTCCGGAACATCATTTTGTCAGTTTGTTAGGGTTTGTTGAAATCAACTAATGACTGGCTGAGCTCTTGTTTGTTGTCCAAAAGTGCAAATAAATAATGCGATTTAAAAATCAGAGCGGCACGGTAGAAATTGCGTGATTTTCTCATTGCCAATTATCGAAGAAATCGTACCGTGCAACCGTGTTTCCTCTTCCAAGGCATGAGGTCATGACAATGACTCAACCTTTGTCTGAGCACCTCCCAAAATCCTCTTAGGCTCAGAGAAAAATCATCCTAATCCCTCTTTAGGATTCAGGGCACCTCACATCAGTCTAATTAGTTAATAGCGGGTAATTCGGGTGTCTTTTTGCAGAGGGGATGTACCGCCCCGACGCCTGGCGCCAAGGGGGTCTTGAATTGGATAGATAGAGAGATAGTTCCTAACTGGTTCATCTGCACTAAGGGAAGTCAATTTCACAGATTCTGTTGGAAATGATAGCAATTTGGTTCTATTGATATCACCTTTTCTTCTACTGAGCAGTTTCCATTGTCTAGGCCACTGACTGCAATGTAAAATGCGACAAGACAAGAAAAGAGAACACGCGTGCCTTAGAAAGGTGACTGATTTTCTGACAGAAAGAAGGAATGATTTTTTGAGAGAGAATCTCTCATAATTGAGTGAATAGCTGACATTGATAGTGCATAATGTGTCAACCGAGCATGCAATTTATTGTAAAATGACGTCTTTACAAATCGGGCCATGGACGCACGATAAATTTCCGGGTTTCCGGCTGTGCTGGACATAATGGCTGCATAATGCTATCAGAATAAAACACAGGCCTAATATTGTTCTATTTCATTCACATTAAAGGCAATAACTAGACCAATTGACAGGAAATTGTATCATTAACACTTTGCTAATGAAATGGTTAATACAGGCTCGTTATTCTTGGACTTCATCCGCGTAAGGTGGCTTTTGTTTATAGAGTGGCAACTTTGTGACGTCCCACTGGGAGGTCAATAAATGACGCTTTGTTCAAGCCATTTAGTTTAATTGGATTTGATGTTGTTGTTCCACTGAAATGATACGGATCTTCTTTTATATTTGTGTCTGTTCACTGACATGTAAGGAACAGGCGCGCCGCAATTGTAAGGATTCAAGTCACAACGCTGGGTTGGTGGTACATTATGAGCCAGTGATTTGTGCGTTGCGGTTTGTCGAAGGTTCGAATCCAGGCTGCCGGTATCCAGTCGCAAAAACAGTTTAAGCCGGTTCTTTTTTTTTTGTTAATGTGTTAATGAATGGTAGGGATTTGAAAGCTCACACCAGTCGCTTGTTGATTGCCGCAGCCAGACATTCTTGCAGTGCGCCATTTTCCGGGATTTTGCAGATGAAATGTAGCAGGTCTTGGTCGCACGCGACCGCTTTGTGCATGCCTCTTTCTGTTTGTCTGCCATAGTTAAACGGTGGCTTCTTGTCCTGGTTAGCGTTTGGTTTTTCCACCGTTCGCAAATAGATATGTGCCATTCGTTAACCTACACTATAGCTAGGACTGGGGGAACAATCTTCTTTCAATTCCATTTAAGGGACTTACTCCTGGTACAGCTCTTTTCAATATCGGACCCATTTCCCCACAAGCGAGCCCGTCAGATGACTTCTCCCCTGAAATGTTGTCGTAGACGACCAGAGAGCTGGAAGCCAGAAGTCACATGACAGGCTGGGTAATTGCGTCCCATCTAGCGTTCCTCTGATACTCTTTAACCAAGTTTTTTCTCCCCCGTGAGGAAAACTTGTCCCGGCCACGACGGCGGGCTGGTGACCTCCCTCGTGCAACAGCAGACGAACGCGGAGAAAACTCAAAGCCCACTATCAACATCATGGAAAAAAGCAGAGGGTGAAGAAGATTGCAGAAAGAGAGACAGCGCGCGGGAGACAGAAAAAGGGACTTGTTTCCCCGGAAATTAATAGGAAAAATCTGCCCGCAGGTCTGTTAGAGAACCTCTCGCCTTCCACCGTCATCGCGCACTGACGAAGGAAAGGAATTTTGTCATATTAATTGAACCAAATCTGTTGCTTTCTGATACAATTTGTTTACTTTGGCCGCGGGGTGTGAGGGTAATTTTCCGCCGTCGACGGCCGGAAAGCAATACTGCGCCAACTCGGAAAACAAGTTAATTCCCAGTAAAGATAGATACCTAACCATCACGACGCCCCCCCCCCCAAAAAAAGGAGGAGGGGTTAACATTCCCCGAGCTTGTTATGTTTGGAGCGTATATGCGTTATTGTTTGAGATTTGTATACTTGCTTTAAGCTTCTCTGTATTAATCAAAGTGAGTCTGATCAGGAAAGCAAGTGTGTCTGGATAGTCGTGGCCATATGTCGTCTGTGTCGAGACCGAGCCTTTGACAGAAATCCCCCGCCGGCTCTTCTATCTATTTCTACCCGCTTACCCCTGTGTTCGGAGCGCTCCAGACGATCGAGCCCTTCCAATGCATATATTCCACGAGTTGTCCCTTTTTCTGTGTGTTTTGGTTGTAAGGGGGGGGACCGGACTCTTACTCGAGGGGACGGCCCGAGGACACCGGCCATTCAGAACCCCGGTGATGAAAATGCATGAAGGGAGGAAAGGTGGAAGAAAGTGTCCCCGGCTCCGTCACAGTGTCGAGGAAGTCCCGCGGAATCATCGAGTATCCAATTTAGACAGCGAGAGCTGAAGGGAGCGAGGCAGGGGCGCGAGAAAGATGAGAGCCCAGTCCGTTTGCATTCAATCATCCACTTTCAACCCCGGCAATGATTAGACGATTACAGCTCAAATTCAAAAGAGAAAAAATCCTTAAAGGGAAAAAATGAAGAAAAAAGAAGAGAGCCTCACACGTCAGAAGAATTATGAACAATGGAATTCAATCTTCCTTCCTCTTCTAACAAGTCGGCTTAATAATCCAAAATTGGATTTACCGGCGAGCTTGTGTCAGGTAAATTTATCATTTAAGGCTCACTTGACGGAGATTAGGCGGGAATATTCCGGCGGACTGTCAGCGGGTTATTACGCCGCCCCCGGGTGGGTAAACCATCCTAGGCGCGGGCCGCGTACATAGATACTGAACAAAGAAGTACATCTATTGCTCCCGGCCATGAGATTCTTTTTCTTCGTCGTCTTCTCGCCTTCATTCTCCGTGTTTTTGCATTGGTGGTCGTTGCTCTCTTTCATCTTTAAATAGAAAGAAGGTAACGAACTCAATCAAAAGGGTTCCAAGAGAGATTTTTTTTACGCATCTACCTCAAAGTACCCCATATTTATAGTTGAACAATTTAACTTGACGGGTTTACATCTCGTGAAGACATTGGGCCAGAAATGAGCGACTACGTTTCGGGAGGTAAGACTTGGTCGTCCGTCTGCTTCCTAAATGCTGATGCCCTCACACTGTCCTTTATGTTAACAATAAGAAATTGATATCACACTTACTACATTATTTTTGTTGGCGCAACTGGCTGTTATTTTATCATAAAAAGTCACAATTTTTCGAATTTCTTTTTACCATTCCTATTTCACATGGCATAATTGTTCCTGTTTGGAAACATGCAAGGACGAGATCAACTGTGTAAGTTCAACGACTCTGCTCCATCTGTTCCACCTTATCTCCCAAAAGGTGCATCGCCTTATAACCTCTCAAGCTCCTCGTGTCGTCACTTTTCAGTTTTTTGGTTTTTCGTAAAGAACGTTTGTTTACTAACAACATTCAGTTTTCGAAAATCTGAACTTGATTTTGGAGAAGTTAGATTCTTTAAGGCTCTCGTCGACACAACTTCATTGTGTGTCAAAATTACTTACAAGTGCAGCTGATGTTTGTAAATATGATTTCAATAAGATTTGATTCTAAGATGATTTGGAAGCAAGCCAGATTTTAAGTGCTTGTTCAGTAGACTTCCCTCCCATCCACAGCTCACATGATATCGATTAAAATTGATTAAATAAAATCGAAATGTGAAATGATTTTTGAGATATCCTGGTGGCGTGGCTTGCATGATCAATTCCTTGTTCCTGTTTTACGTTTGAAGACATTTAAAAAATATTTCTTGGACATATGGCTTTCGGAATTTGAACGTTTCCAATCATGTGAAATGAAAATGTGGAAAGACCATAATGTAAAAGAGACCTATCTATACGATTAAATTATTGTCACTACTTTTTATTTAGTTTTGCAGGACATTTTGAATGCGGTATAATTCATTCCCTTATGACGGTCGAGTTCACAGCTTGCATTTTCACTGTTCGCCGACCCTGCAACACGGACAGCAAGAATATGATTTGTATCAATATAAACCGTGTCCACAAAAAATCCTAAATCCGCGTTTAAAGTTTCTCATGTAACATCATACACCCGGATCAGTTCCGGAGCCCGCGACTACTCGTCCGGACGGCTCATCCG